CGAAATCGATGGCAGGATCGATGGTGATGCCGATGGTACGATCGATTGGGTGAGACGGAGCATGGGATCGATCATGAGATCGATGGTGAGCTCGATCGTGGGATCCCAAACTGGGCCCAGAGCCAGCAAGCGGGAGCCTGGGGACCCGGAGCCAGGAACCCGGAAACACGGCGGCCTGCCGGAAGCGGCCGCCCACTTTCGCCAACTCCTCCAAGGTCCGCTAGGACCCCTTCAGCGCAAGCGCCGATGGGGAATAAGAAGGATGAACGACGAGGATGCAAGGGTTGACGGCGCGCAAAGAGGGGTAGGAGGGAGGGGGAAGGCGTCTTAGAAGGAGGCCGCCTCTTAGTAGGCGCTGGCCTCGCATCTGCAGAGCTGGCCAGCGCCTGCTATGAAGCAGGGGTGCTTCTAAGAAGCCTGCCACCCTCGCCCGACCCCCCTCTGCGCGTGGCCGTGGAAGGCCATGCCGTCGCTTTTCGAGCGGGGTGGAGCCAGCGAAAGTGGCCAGAAATGAGCCGAAAGGGACGAGTGCAAAGACAGGGTTAGAAAATCGCACTTCCGTTATCAGCTGTCCGCGTTGAGTGCACAAGCGCCGGAGACCCCGCGCTTGGAAGAGCCCGCCATCCCGCACCGCAGAGCCACAGCGAGGTGGCGACATCCGAACCCTGACCCAACCAACCACCGGTTCCCCTGAATCGATGGGAGGCGGGTGTAGGGTTCGGATTTCGCCACGTGCTCGGCGAATTCCGAACCCTAAATCCGCCGCCCATCGAGTTGCGTGGATCGTGGATCGGCGAGGCCTCGATCCTTCGATGCTCCTCGATGCAGGAGAGAAAAAAATACACGGGCACAAGTAATCGTCGACCCCTCGGAAAAATAGGGGAAGTGGGGGGGGGAGACACAAACCCAGGAAACATGCGAACACAAGTGGGGATCCTTGCATGTGTGTCTATTTATTTCCGTGTCCCAGGGCCCCTTTCTCGATCCGGTGGGGTTCAGACTTCGCCGCCGGGCTGTCGAGCAGTCGACCTCGACTCGCCCGCGCGAGAGCGCCTGGCCGCCCCCCGCGCGGCCGCCGCTCTGCTGCCCCCCCCGGCCGGTGGCGCCCGACAACCCCCGGCGAGGAGGAAGCCATGCCGCGCCACGGCCGGGCTGGGCGGGGGCATCGGTCCTTGACCAGGTCGTCCCTGATGCCGTCCATGACGGAGCTGCCAGCGACGCGGTTGACGAGGAGGAGGAGGAGGAGGAGGAGGACAGGAGGAGGAGGAGGAGGAGGAGGAGGAGGAGGAGGAGGAGGAGGAGGAGAGAGGAGGTGGAGGAGGAGGAGGAGTAGGAGGAGGAGGAGGAGGAGGAGGAGGGTGACAGATCTGTTTCGCTTGGCTGCGCGCCTGGTCTGAAGCGTTGGCATCTCTGGGCCTCCCCGGGGCCTCTCGTGGCCACGGCCCGGGCGCGGCTCGGCGAGCTGCGCCGGAAAGGGGCTGGGCGGGGACGTCTGCCGGGGACGGGCTCGGGGGCGGCTACGCTTGAAGGGGCCCAAGGACACACAAATAAAGACACACAAATAAAACTATCCCCCATAGTTTCCCACATGTTCTGGGTTTCTGTCTTCCCCCCCACGTCCCATGTTTTCCCATATTCTCGGGGGAGTCGAAGATCAATTGTGTCTGTGTGTTTCTTTCACTCCTGATACTCTGAGGGGATCGGGCTGGCCCAGCAGAACAGGGTGTCGGCCAGCGTCGCGGCCGTCAGCCACGGGCGTCGTCTACGGGGACAGGACGTGCGACCAACCACGGTTGGTCGGGTGGCGGCTGGCCAAGAAGAGTAGGGCTTCTTAGAGGGGATCGGGAGACTCAGACCTCCCAGGAGAAAGTGAACGGACGTTGGTCGGATCCGGGGCGATGGGGGTCGGCCTTTTAGGAAGGCAGGGGCTTCCTCGAAGAGCCAGGGAAGAATTGAAGAAGACCCCGGAGAAAGGAGGGTTCGGAAGCCCCCAACCTTTCTGGGAAGGCCCCCCCTTTGCCCTTTGCACCCTTCTGCGCGCTTTGCCGATCCACGAGGAAGAGCAGAGCAGAGAACCGCCGGACCCTGAGTGCCCCCCAGAGGTGCGAAACTGACCGACCCTCGGGTGGGAGGAAGCGGAAAGTGGCACAAACTGTTGGAGGTCCGCGCGGACATCGGACAGCTTCTGTTCATGCCGTTTCTTACTCCCCGACGGGAGCACGTGGCTTCCGAATGAGACATCCCGCGTCGAAGGGCCCTGTTGGCCAGGAGCGCACTGGGAGGACGGACGCAAGACACAGGGGGACGGTGCTTGGTACGCTGGCCCGGCTCCGGAAGTCCAGCTCCCGAAGGAAACGCGGAGGCGGCCGATGGGGCAGACAGGAGAGACTGCAGTCGGGGCCTTGACCTAAGGAACCCCAAATAAGGAACGAGGCCCCTCTTTTTTCCATAAGTTGAGCTTCGATTTCCGATCGAAGACAGAAGGGAAAGCTGGGGCAAGCTGTGAAACACGTAAGGAACGCGGAGCCCCTCCCCCACCAAAAGGGCTGCTTCTTCAGGGCCCCGACTGTACGGGTAATCTGGCCACTCGTGGGCCTGCGCCCACGGTCTCCTTCTCTTGGTGCTGCCAACGCCCTTTGCCAGGGAGCCTGCCGCGCGTGTACTGCCGGGTCTCACGTTGCTGCCGGGTGTGGGCAAAAGCTGTGCGGCTTTTTGCTGATCGCTGCCTCTGCTCCCGTGATTGTCACGTGGGAAGTGCGCACCAGAACGCACATGGCATGCAACTGCCATTTGAAACGCCCATTGGCAAGCAACTTGAACGGCACATTTTAATGCAATTCGAACAATGGCCAACCAGAGTGCTGGACTGGCACGGTGCTGGGACATGCCGCAGGCAGCTGGGCTCGTGCATATCATTGCAATCGGAGTCAACATCTGCTGCGTACAAATAAACATGCAATCGAAATGCAAGACCCATTGCAATCGACACGCAAGCCGCAATGCACATCGAACAGCGGAGCCGACGCTATAATTGAAATGCGCACGGAAATCCCGATTCCTCTCTCTCTCACACACACACACTCGCACCCCTAACCTCCTCATCTTCCGATGGGTGGTCTACAAGCTATACGTGTATCAGGAGGTGGGGGGTTGGAGCGAAGCGACCTCAACTAGGATTAGGTCGGGCGTGTCCCACTACAGGCATACTTGGACGAAAAATTCAAAGATAGTGCAAGCAGATTCAAACAATGATCAGAAATAGTCAAAACATCGTCCCCCGACTATTTCTTGGCTGTTTGGGAATATTCGTCCTGATAAAGGGACATGCCCGACATCAGTCGACAAACTGTACATGCATCAGAGATGGGGGGTGGGAGCGAATCGACCAACCAGGAAACGGTTTCGATTCGTGCCGCGCGTGCGGGCGAGGCGAAGCTGCGCGAGGGCGACGCTGCGCCGGCGTAGCTATAGGGCCAAGGCGTGCAACAGGTGTCTTCTATGGACGTGCGGCTCCCCGCTGTTGTCGTCCCAAGATTACCCCGTGCGTGTCGCATGAAGGAGGAGGGAGGAGGAGGAGGAGGAGGAGGAGGAGGAGGAGGAGAAGGAGGGGGAAGAGGAGGGGGAAGAAGAGGAGGAGGAGGAGGAGGAGGAGGAGGAGGAGATGGGGGAGGAGGAGGAGGAGGAGGAGGCGGAGGAGGAGGGGGAGGAGGTCTCGTGGATTGGCCCGTGGGCTGGCTCACGGTTTTCCTGTGGGTTTTCCTATGGTCTTCCCATGGATTGCCCCGTGGGTTGTCCCGTGGGTTGTCCCGCGGGTTGTTGCGTTGCCCCGCGGGTTGTCCCGCGGGCTGCTGTCCAGTGGGTTGGCCTGGGGGTTGTCACGTGCTTGTTGCGTCAAGTGCCCTGTGGGGAATGCACATTGGAATTCAGACCCAGTGTCGATCGGAAGGAAAACCAGAATACAAGTACAAATGCAATCAGCGTGCAAGTCTAAATGCACAACTGAATATTGGCATGACTATGGAAACTTGTGTTGAATTGTATTCGAGATAACAAAAAAAGCAAATCGAACTGCGAATCCAATTGAAAACACACTGCGTCTCGAAATCTCAATCTGCACTAACACATGCACGTCGACACATAATGGAAATGTAATTCGGCTTGCGCATTCACATGTACATCGCAATGCGCATCTAGATGCACATGTACACATGTACACGCAGATGGCATGTAAGCCGGAATGCAAATCGACTTGCAAACCGACACGCAAGTCTAGTTTGAAATCGCAACCCAACTCGCATAGAAATCCAACGTCGACCCAATAGCAATCGCAATGCACATCGAAATGGAAAACACAAAGGGCAAATCGCATAATGGCTGGAAAGAGACACGACTCATCCAGGCAATTGAGATAGACAGAGAAATCGAGGCTGGGTCGATCCACACATACATGTATATCTCTATATATATATACATGTATATATATGTGTGTACATATATGTATGTATGCAGATGTATAGAAACACTGGTAGCGATAGTATAGATGGTGCTATCAACCCATGGAAGAATCGGTACATGCAAGGCCATGCCGATAGGGTAACCATCCGGACCCCATGACCCCCAAACCAACGATCGAGATCGTCCAAGAACCTCCTCGATCTTCGGTCCGCCAGCCTCGGTCCTCTTGTCCACACAAGCAGCTTCGCCGCACCCACACGAACTGGACGAACCGAAACGAAACCGAAGCAACTGTCCTGGTTGGGGACACTCCGTTTTGAATCACCCCCCCCAACCTCCGACGAAAGCTTGGGTTGAAAGCACTGACGTAGGAGGTGCGAGCACGTCGCCGCCGCACAGCGAAAGCATAAACCCGAACACACTCCACAAGGGGCCATGCCGTTGATTTGAAACTTTGGCTGGTGTGGCCGGTGGAGTTCTCTCCTCTGGCCAAAGGGGCTCGACCCTGCACGTGCCTCGAGATATGTATGGTGCCCCTGCTCGCCCTACAAGAACACGCCTCTCCCCAGCGCATGCGAAGGAAGGGGCTCTCCCAGGGGCCGCACTGCGTTGGTCTGCGTGTTCATGGCTTCCTCGACGTGCTTCTTGAAAAGATCCTCTGGCGGCGGGCCGCATGGGGAACGGGAAGCGGGGGGAGCGGGGAAGCACGCACGTCAGGTTCGTGTCGTGCCGACTTCGGCGTTGGTTTCTCACACCGCGGGGATCCTTCAACCTTGAACGATCGGCTGTTTCCGAAACGTCCAAATCGTTCCACATCGAACAATTCTGGGTCGCCCGCGGCGTTCAACGTTGAACGCCACTGGCGGGGTCGCCGCCGGTCGACGACACGAACCTACCGTAGAGAGGAGGAGCATGATCCATAACATCGGCTACACGCAAGAGCGACCCTAGGCAAGAGCGGCCCTCGATGCGCGACCTTCGGGAAGCGCGGGGGTGCCAAAACCCGAGCGCGGAAGCCGCTCCTATCGCATCGAGCTCAGCCAGGTTGGGACCCCAGTGTGTCCGCACCAAAGGTCCCCCCCGTCGAGAGCAGGGGGCAGGAGAGGAGGCCAACGAGGACGTCGAGGAGTCGAGGGCAAGGATTAGCATGAGGAGGATGAGATGCATGATTTTCAAGAACAGACGAAGAGCCAGTATTTGCTCCAAGCGCCGCCGACGCGAAATGCCTCGACCGTCTGTGTACAGTCGTGATTCGTGCGGACAACCCGTGCGGGCAAAATCTGGAAAAAGGGCAACGCTTCGTTTGTGCCTTGGAGGCTCACAGCTGCGCGCGAGCGCCAAAAACAGGATGTGCGGGCCGCTCACAGCGACGCGCGCCTCGGTGCACAGAATGGCCCAAAGGTCGGGGACCTACTGACCCGGGTCAATCCAGACCTGGGTAGGTCAGGCCTTACAGAATCCTGCAAGATCCTGCAGGATCCTGCACCCAAGCCGGGGTCAATGCAAAGGATCCTGCAAGATCCTGCAGGATCCTGCGCCTAAGCCCGGGTCAATGCGACCCTGGCCCTGCATGATCCTGCAAGATTCGGCGCTCTGGCTGACCCCCTTTGCCTTGACCCCCGTCCCTTGAGCCCCGAGAAGGTATGCCTCCACGCCACGGCCGGGCTCGGCGGAAAATGACCCTGCGCAAACTCGCGCACGCGGCGGACCGCGCGTGCCGGCGCCGCTTCTCGGCGCGTGGTGGCCCCGGCCCGTCAGGCAAGCGCCAGCCAGGGCGCAGCATCGAAGCGCTGCTGGGCCGGAGGGCGAGCCAGAGGCAAGGAGCGGGCACTGAGCGCGAGCAGCTCCGTCCCCGGGGCACCCTGCGGTGGTCGTCCGCGGGCGACCCCTCGTCGGAACCGCGGTGCGGGGAACGCGCCATGAGGACGCAGTCGAAGCGAAGCGCGAGCATCCCAGCCGCCCCCTCCAGAGCCGCCCCAACAGGAGGCGCCGTGGCGGGTGCGCAGCACCCTGCCGCTATTCCACATCGGTCCACGCGTCTTGCATCCACGCGCGCAGCGGTTGCGACGCTGCGCGTGACCCGCGCCCAGGCAGCGCATTCTGCCGCGAATCGCAGAGCATGCTCCACCATGGCGGGCTGCGACTTCGGCCGCTTCCACGGCGTCTGACACCGCGCCCTCCTGGTCCTCGCCGATTCGGCGCGAACGCCTGCCACACGGTCTTGACCGAAGGCTGACCGCCAGCACCCTCGAGTGCAGCCGATGCGTAGTGTCAGGTGCGGTCGCGCGAGGCTGAGCGCCGTGACCGCCCAAGCGCAGCAGCGTCGAGCGAGGCCGTCGCAACAACACCTGGAGTACAGTGGAGACCCTCCAGGTGGGCCCTATGGGCGGCGGCGCGTGCGCGCAAGGGCAGCGCGCGTGTCGCCGCCAGTGCCGAGCAGGGAGGTGGCATGAGCGGAGGCGGCAGGAGGAGGAGAGCGGGGGCCAGGGGAGGACAGGGAGGGGACCGGGGCTAGGGAGAAAAGGGGGGGGAGGGAGAGGTGGTGGAGGGGGAGACCGCGGAGGGGCAGGAGGAGGAGGGAGGGGAAGGCAGGAGGGGGCGCGATGAAGGGGAAGAGAGGTGGTGTCCTCTACCATCTTGAGGATCTCCTCTCTCTTGACCACGTACTCCAGCATCTTTCGAGCAGTGACCAGCTTGCTGCAGATCATTTGCGTCATCTGCTGAGACACCTCCTGAGCGCCGCTGAGAGGAGGAGAGGAGGACGCCGAGGAGGCAAACGGAGCAATCATGAGAATGATAAGCAGGACAAGGACAAACAGCAGCAGGATGATGAGGAGCGGCGGGTGATGACGAGGATGAAGAGCAGCAACAGGATAATGAGGAGCACAGCGTGAGGATAAGCAGAAGGCGAAATCCGGAGAAAAAAAAACAGCAGAAGCAAGACGATCAGAAACAAGTGGGGAGGGGGAAGAGGATGAGGAGAAGAGGGATCAGGACGAGGAACACGAGCAGGTCGATACGTATGGGGAGAAAGAGGATGAGCAAGAGCAACATCATATGAAGCAGGACAGCGAGACACAAGGCATAAAGATTAGGATGAGGGGAGGAGGAGGAGGAGGAGGAGGAGGAGGAGGAGGAGGAGGAGGAGGAGGAGGAGGAGCAGCAGCAGCAGCAGCAGCAGCAGAAGCAGCAGCAGCAGAAATCTCAGCTGTATGATGATGAGGAGAAGCGGGGAAGCAGCGGAAGCAGGACAAGGAGTTTCAGCAGCAGGGCGAATAGGAACAATGGGTGAGCAGACGGCGGAGGAGGAGGAGGACTGAGCTGGAGAAGCAGTGTGGAAAGAGGAGAAGACAGAGGAGGATGAGACAGAGGAGGAGGAGGAGGAGGAGGAGAAGGAGGAGGAGGAGGAGGAGGAGGAGGAGGAGCATCAGAGCCACGAAAAATCATTCGGGACGGGGGGGAGAACAGCAACATCAGGATCAATACGGGAGATGAGGAGGGGAACGCGATGAGGATCTGGAGCGGGAATGGGAGAAGAAAGAGAGGACGTGGCCGACCGCGAAGTACGAAGATAACGGGATGCTGCTGTCGCATCCGCCACCCTCACACTCCCTAGGCACATAGAAAGACCCTGGGCGCGCATCCGCCACCCTCCCACTCCCTAGGGCTGATAGCCTTGCTGGGGAAACTAGCCATCAAGAAGCTCACTGGGGCACGTGAGAGGGAAACAGGCATCTGGTATCCTTCTGCCGCTTCAGGAAAACGCCCTGGAAGTTGACGTAGCCGCCACAGTAGAGGTGGGGCCACACAGGCTTGAAGATCAGGTTTATGCCCAGCCAGTTGGTCAGGTCCGCCCTCCCGCTCGCAGCAGAAACCGATTCCCTGCAGGATGCTAGACGCGGAGGCGTAGGACAACTCTACCCCATAATTGGTTTCCACTATCTGTTTCCAGCACTCGGGATTCCGCAAGTACTCGGGAGCGGCCAAGAGGGGGGTGTCCAAGAGGGGGGGGTGAAAATCATGACCGGCGGCATGTGCGCGGCCCAGCGGGGGGGGCCAGGGACGCAATGAAATAAGAGGAGGCGCCATGAAATATTCGGGGAAATTTCATGGCCCACGCCATGACATCCACCCCCCCCCCTGGTCATCACCCCCTCTTTTCCGCCCCCGAAGTACGACTCCGTGGTCCGAAGCGAGCCTCCAGAAACTCAAACTTCGAAGCCTCGGTCGTCCCGTGTGTTTCGGGTCTCGACGCAACGGGGGGGACGTGGCTGCTCGGAGGCGACCTGGCGGACACAGGGTGGCCTGGCCTTGCGCGGATGCTCGGCGCAGAAAGCACACCCATGGAGTCGCATATCCATGGGATCACGGCGAAGGCATAGGTTTACATCATGCCGACACCGATTCACGAAGCACGCAATTTCTACCACTCTACCTACAAACTGTGTAGAAGTCCGTGTGTACACATCTACGTAGGCGGACAACTCCCACTGGATAGGTATCGAACCTGTACGTTTACAAACATACCGTGAGCCCCGCCTACATACTACAACGATGTATGTATACCAGGTATATTTAGCACACGGACGCATATGCCTACATGCGTCCATAGATGTACAGTGTGTACATGCATGTACGTATGTATGTTGGAAATGTTCTTCGCCGTCGCTCGTGAGGAAAAGGTGCGGGAGAAGGAAACACAGGACTACAAGCCTTTCGAGCCCTCTAGAACTTGTCTGGAGGCGCGCCGAAAGCGGCGCTGGCCCCGCGGATACCCGATGATCAGGCCAGAGACCGGGAGCACGACGAAGCCGGCCCAGCAGTGGAACTTGCTGGACCCCGCGTGCGTCTTGCACTCGTCCTCGGTGCCGGTCGAGTTGATTATCATCCACAAGCACATCTGGAAGGCACCGAGGATGAACCTGCAGGATCCATAGGACCCGGGCGTCGCACTTTTCTCGCGACCGGCGTTTTCGTCCAGTTTCGGGCTCCCGAGACCCTCACGGATCGATCTAGCTCGACCGATGTCGCAGAAACATGGGGGTGCAGTCAGTGCTCCAATAATTGTTGTTGCTCGACCGGCTCGATTTTCGATGTTCGATGTTCGACCGATCTCGACTTTTCGACCGATTGGAATCGAATCGCATATGTCGGGTCGGGCGAAAGGGGGGATAGCAAAGGGGGGGTTTGAGAATCAGCTCACGTAGCTGATTTTCCCGGCGCCTCCCGGCGCCAGAGGCGGCTATGTATCGAGGATTGGGCCCCTCGGTGAGGCCGAAACCAGCTGCATGCGGCAAATTTCGTAACCCCTCCTTTCCCAATCCCCCCCTTTCGTCCGGCCCGAAGATGGGACTCGATGTTCCGCCGATCTCGAAGGGCTCCCGCCGCAGGTTTGCCGTGCTGCCCGTTGCTCGCGGGGCCTGCCGGCTCGCAGGGCCTGCCGAGAGGCCGAGAGGTCGAGGGGCGGCCTGCTCCCGCCGAGCCTCGGGGAGAGCACGGCGAGAGGCCGAGGGGGGTGCGCCCGTCGAGAGAGAGCCTCGTGCATCTCGACGGTGCAGTCGGGGCGTTGACCTAAGGAACCCCAGATGAGGAACGAGGCCCCGTCTAGACATAGATCATAAACTTCGGCTCACCATCGAAAGCCTAAGGAAATCCTCGGGCAAGCTGCGAAACAATCAAGGAACACCGAGCCCCCCCCCCAACGAAAAGGGTTCCTCCCTCAGCGCCCCGACTGTAGGCTTAGGTCGGGCGTGTCCCCCTACAGGCGGAGCGTGGACGAACCATGAGAAATACTCCAACAATCAGAGCATACGCAAACATACGCAACAAGTCGTCCCCAGACTATCTCTGAACTATTTCGGAAGATGCCTCCTGTAGAGGGACAGACCCGACTTCAGTCAAGAGAGAGCCTCTTGCATCTCGACGGTAGGCCATCACCGAGCTGGCCAGCTGCAGGGCACACCCCTGGAGGAGCGGGCGGAGGGGAGAAGCCGCCTCCCGATCTGCATGGACCCTGTGACGCTCCGTCGATCCCGGAAGGTCGCCCTCTGCTCCACTCCTGGCATCTGCCGCCCTGGGGGAACTACGTCGTTCCCTGCCATTCCACGATGCTCGTTCTCGTCACAGCCGCCATCACTCTTATCATCGTCCTGACCGTCATCTCATCATCGTCATCATCATCATCATCATCATCAAAAACATCAGCATCACCATCATCATACTCCTCCTCCTCCTCCTCATCATCATCATCATCATCATTGTCATCAGCATCACCATCATCATCATCATCATCATCAGCATCATCATTATCATTATCATCGCCATCGTCATCATCATCATCATCATCACCACCGTCATCCTCAGCACCATAATCATCATCGACATCATCATCATCGTCACCATGCTCATCACCACCACCACCATAATCCTCATCATCATCCTACTCATCATAACCACCACCACCGTCATCATCATCACCGCCATCTTCATCATCATCAACATCATCATCATCCTCATTAACATCCTCATCACTACCCCCATCCGCACCATCAGCATCACCCTCATCTTCATCTCATCCTCATCAGCATCACCATCATCATAACTACCCCGATCGTCATCATCACAACCACAGTCATCATAATCGTCATCATGATCATCGTCACCCTCATCATCATCATCATCATCAGCAGCAGCAGCATCAGAAACGTCATCATGATAATGATCCTCGTCATCATCAACATTTCATCAGTATCAACATTATCATCAGTATCATCATCGTCATCATCATTGGCATCATTGGCATCAGCATCGTAACCATCGTCATCACCATGAACAGCACCATTATCAACATGATCATCAACATCATCACCATTACGATCAAAGTGACCATTAACATCAATATCATAATTTTCAGACCATCACCACCGTCATGGTCCTCACCATCCTCACCGCCGTTGTCATCATCGTGCGCAATCACACCCCGCCATTCACACCGTCATCATCAAAAGAAAAAATAATAATCGCCGCTGCCATCGTTCGTGTCGTCGTTGTGGTCGCCTTCGCTATCACCGTCGCATCCGTGTGCTCCCACTGCGCAGACACTGACGAGCGCAGGGCATGTCTGAGGACCACGCACGCGCGGCTAGCAGCCGACGGCCCAGCAGAAGACGGGCGACGTCGGCCTGCACATTGTACCACTTCGCACCATACACACTACGAACGGGCACCATCTCCTCGGATTGCTATGGTGTTCGCGTGCACATTCGCAGGTCGCTCAGCTTGATTTCTTTCGGCCGTGGACAAACCTTCTTTTAGTAGACCTCCCCTTAGTGAAAACGGCCTGGGACCGAAACCGACGGACCTGGACCCGCAAAAAATGACGGCCGCGACGCCCTCTCGCGAACCGAAAACGGCCAATTCCTTAATCGAAGTGTCAGAGTAGGAGGTCTGTCCAGCCCCGATTTTTGCGTTCGTCACTAGGCCCAGCCTGGATGATCAGAGCGGGCACCCTGCCTGCACGAGCAGTCGCGGGCGCAGCCGAGGGGCTGCCTCGCTGGAGCGTGCACCGGCTGTCCGCCCTATGAAGAGCAGCCCGCTGTGTGGCCGGCTCTTCCCGTGGCGACGCGGGTGTTGATCTCTGAAGCCGAGTGACTCATGAAACCTCCTCCCTCCTCCTCCTCCTCCTCCTCCTCCTCCTCCGCCTCCTCCTCCTCCTCCTCTTCCTCCTCCTCCTCCTCCCCCTTCCTCCTCCCTACTCCTCCTCCTCATCCTCTTCTTCCTCCTCTTCCTCTTCTTCCTCCTCCTCCTCCTCCTCCTCCCTCCTCCTTTCTCTCTCTCCTCCTTTCTTCCTCCTCCTCCTCCCTCCTCCTCCTCCTCCTCCTCCTCCTCCTCCTCCTCCTCCTCCTCCTCCTCCTCCTCCGCCTCTTCCTCCAACCTCGAGCGACCTCCCCTACGAAGATGCCGTACGTGCGGACTTCGACGCCACAGGTTGCTTGCGCTTCGGCCGGAAGAAGTCGGACAAAAACATGAAATGGGAAGGCGGATCAAGTATATTGGGTTCAAGCCCCCCAGAGAATAACAACACACAACAACATCGAATCGATGCTTGAAGTAGGCAGGCGCTTGGGAAACATGGGGATCTGGGAATCCAAGGATACCTACTTCCAACGACCGGCGTGTACTGTGGGCTCCGAGGATCGGCACGAGCCCCAGAGGTGGAGCTCAGCCTGGAACGCCAGCGACGGCGTCGCCGCCACGTCGGGGCGGCGCGCACCTGCCGAGCTCGGGTGCTGCCGCGGCCTGTGCCTTCTCCCCCTTACAGTGGAGGCCAAGAAGCCTTCCGCAAGAATCCCAGCCCTGAGACCCCAGGACGTCCATTGATATTTGGTGTGGGAACGTCACGCGTTCCACCGCAAGACCATCGGAACCCAAGAAACCCAGGGCACCCTTGAGGCAAGCAGGGTTTTTCTTGGCATGGGTCTTCACTGTACCGTCTCTCCCCTCCCTCCCTCCCCCACCTCTCACCAGACCTCCTCGCGCCACGGGAGAACTACAACGACAAGTCTGCTGGTGTGTTCTGTTCCTGGGGGCCCTTGCAAGACCACGGGTCCGTAAGCACACAATTCAGGATGAAGAAAAGATGTCCCCAGGGAAATGGCCGAGACTCCAACAAGGCGAACTCCAACAATGAGGCCAACCGCGAGCTGGACATTGCCCTCCTCAATGCACCCAACAGGTGGTGCAAAGGTGGGGTCGTAAGCGTAGGGAAGGATCCGAGGGTGGACTTACATTGTTTGAGGCACCTCGCGCTTGGGGCCCCATCCCTCAAGACCTCATCTTTTGAACCACCGACCCAAGGCCATCTTCTAAAACCGCTCCGCCACCGTGGCGATCCGTGAGCAGCCCGTGCAGCTTGGCTCGCCACGGCACGGCTGCAGCTAAATGGGAGCTCGCTGCGGTCATTGACACCTCACCAGTCGATGTCGCCAACGTCCTCGCTGTCTCGGGCACGGGCGGGATATACGACCGCAGCCACTGGAATACCTCCCAACTGACCGACACGGCCGCCCGCCCAAGACGTGAACATCTGGTGCGAGCCAGAAGGCACAATGGAGGCAACACTGGCCGTCTCCACCAAGCACGGGGCCTGCGGCGTCGCCCAAGGTGACTGATGCGTTGGAGCGCGAGTGTTGCGAGCCGGCGGGGTCGCCAAGACGGTTGCCCTCGAGCTCCGCGGCACCGAGGCCGCCCTGGTCAACGCCGAATACCGCATCACTCGCCTCGAGCCTCAGTATGCCACCAAGGCACAAGGTTCTCAACTGGCCCTTCGAGGTCACCACGCAAGTTGGGACAAGCCCACAGGGGGGGCACGAAGTCCCCGTCCGAGCGCGACCGAAACACCCAGCGCCACCGTCAAGGTGGTGGGGTACAGCGGTCCACGGAACATTGCGGCAGTCGACCAGCCCGCCAACGACCGAGGGATCGCGCCCGCGACCGCCGCGATCCTGCCCCAGGACACCATCCACCAACCGGCTCTCGCGGCCTCCGCACCGCTGGCGCCGCCCAAGCCGCCCACCCTCCAGGAGAAGCCTGCTCGCAGGCCCTGCCTCCACGCGTTGCTCGAACGGGGCGGTTCCCGCCCCTGCGGCGCGGAGCTCACGGGGCCAGGCTCGGCCAGCAATCGGGACTCCCACGCCGCCAAGGGGCAGGTCGCGCTCAGCTGCCAGCTGCCGAGGCAGCACCACAGGACCGAAGGACCCCGAGCGTCAGGCCTGTCCAGGGTACATGCCCTGAGGGCGGCCCACAGCAGGCCCTTTTGTGCTAATTCCACGCTGATAGCGAAGACGAAGACATGGACGGTCTCGAAGACGACGAGTGGACAAACGCCTGGGCCTGCATCCATGCTCCATGCTGACCAACACAGGTACTGGGCAAACCGCGAGCTGCACTACGCTCGGAACGACCCAAGGCCCCCCACAAGCGGTGCTCACCCATCCACGTGGGAGCGCCTGGTTGTGGCCCGTGATCTGCGGTCGAAACCATCTGTCGGTCCTGGCACCAAGGGGGCAGGCCTTCATGGCTTGACCCCCCACCCATCGACACCGCCGGAGAAACCTCTCCACGTTGGCTGTGCGTCCACTGCCACTACCAGACACCGGTGCACCGCAGGATGCCCACCCGCGGCACCTCGCCGCCACGCCGATGTGCCCCACGTGCGGCAGCTGGCATCCACCTTCCCTGCACTTGTCGGAGCGGGCCCTGTCTACTACTGGGTCTGCAGACGGGCCCACCTCCACGGCAACCAGGCCCGCGGCTTCAGTAGCTGCAACGTCTACGGCGCGGGCTGAGCTCTGCTTAACATCCAACTCGATGTTGCGAACCGTGCTGCGAGGCCCTTCAGGCAATGGGCAACCATGAGCCCCTCTTCCTCCCCACAATCCTCCTCACCCCTCCCTCCCTTCCTCCCTGCCGTGCTCCTAGCACCCCCCACCAGCGCCTCCAAGCCTCCAAGCCGCCTTTTTCGGACGGCCTCCGACCCCCCGCCCCCAGGTGAGCCCCAGAACGGCCGAGAAGTGCTGGATGAAAGTGAACTCCCTGGCCCCGATCTGCTGGAACATCTCCACCAACAGCCGTCTGACGCGGCGGGGCAGAAGAGGTTAGGTGGCAACTCCTGACCTGGGTCTTCAAAGGCACGAAAAGGGACTGTCAGATTAGTGAGGCCTGAGATCAAGCTGTATTGATTAGGCCAGGTTGGCATTAGCCTGGCGAAGGACCCGACCATATGCAGCTGCGAGTCTCGCAAGGCAAATGGAACGAAGCAAGGGGCGGGCGAACTGCAAATAGCGTCGGAAATGGCCCTCTCCTCATAGGCAGCGCGCCACAAAAAAGAGCGGGGCACTGGGCAGCGCAACAGAAAAGCGGGCCCTCCCACTGGAGCCTTCGGTGGAGCTCCTGGCAGGGCCACGAGACGTGCGAGAGGTGTGCCGACATGTGTGCGGCGGAGGCCGATGCTGATGCTGATGCTGATGCTAATGCTGATGCTGATGATCGTGCGGCTGATCGTGATGATGATGGGCGCGGCGGCGGCATGCGGGCCCTCCCACTGGAGCCATTGGTGGAGCTCCCCGTGGGGCCGCGGAAAAAGTGCGAGGGGTGTGCAGAGATGTGCGCGGCGGTGGCGTGCGGGCCCTCCGACAGGAACCTCCGGTGGAGCTCCTTATGGGGCCACGCGTGAGGTGTGTGCAGAAAGGGGCGCGGCGGTGGCGTGCGGGCCGTCCCGCTGGGGCCTTCGGTGGGGCTCCCTGCGGGGCCACGAGACGTTTGACCTGTATGCGGAAGTGGGCGCGGCGTTGGTCTGCGGGCCCTCCAGCTGGAGCCTTCGGTGGAGCTCCCAGCGGGGCCACGAAACGCGTGAGCGGCGTGCCGAAGTGGGCGCGGCGGGCGGTGGCGCGCGGACCCGAGACGTTTGGGAGGCGTGCCGAAAAAAGGCGCGGCGTTGGCACGCGAGCCATCCCATTGGGGCCTTGCGTGGAACTCGTTGCGGGGCCTCTTCCTCCTCCTCCTCCTCCTCCTCCTCCTCCTCCTCCTCCTACGAAACGTGTGAGGGCGGTGCCGGAATGGGCGCGGCCGTGGCATGCGGGCCCTCCCGCTGGGGCCTTTGGTGGCGTCCCCTACGGGGCCGCGAAGCGTGAGGAGTGTGCCAACATGGGTGCGGGGGAGGCCGATGCTGATACTGCTTATGATGCGAATGATGATGCTCGCGCGGCTGATCGTGATGACGGCGATTGTGATGATGATGATGATGATGATGATGATGATGATGATGCTGATGATGATGATGATGATGATAATAATGATAGTGAGAATGAAAATGATGATGATAATGATAATGATGATGATACTGATGATGATACTGATGATGATCATGATGATGATGATGCTGATGATGATGATGATGATGACGATGATGATGATGATGATGATGATGATGATGATGATGATGATGATGATGATGATACTGCTGATGTTGATGATGCTTCTGCTGCTGGTGGTAATGAGTATGTTGGTTACGACGCGGATGCTGGTGGTGATGGTGCTGATGATGATGGTGGTACAACCAATGAAGATGACGATGATGATGGGGATGCCGATGACGACGACGACGACGACGACGAGAAGAGAGGAGGGGGAGGAGGAGCGAGGCCGAAGGCATGAGGAAGGCGTGTCGCGGGGCGCCGCGGATTCAACACGAGGACCCAACACCACAGGACGGTTAAACCAAACAAGTGGCACGCGTGCCCTGGCTCTTGCACCAAGGAGCTGCGAGGGACAGGAGGCTTTCGCCTCCTTCTTCCAGGAGTTTCCTTCTGTGGCCGGGGGGTTAAGATGAACGACAAACGGACGAACGACGACGAACGAAAATAAAGAGGTCCGAGCTCCAGAACACAGCTGTGCAAGAGAATTAAATCAGATTGAGCGGGACCCGCACGGAGCAAATACCGAGACCCAGGGAAGCGCGCGCGTGTCCATGGGGGTATGGCGCGGGAGGCCGCCCCCCGACAGACGGGTGGCAAAACGCGAACAAAGCCGTCATCGCATGCCGCGCGTCTCAGGTAGCGTTCCGCAGAGAGGTCACCGGCCAACCCTACAGCCTACAAAACAAAACACCTCCCCATTGCCCCAAGCACACCCTGTCCTGCGTCCCTTCATGGGCGATCGCCGCCTAAGCCGTCGCCGTCCTCGTTTTCCTCCTCCTCCTCTTCCTCCTCCTCCTTCCCAGGCCTCCGACATTGTCACATTTTCAGTGCCTGCGGTTTTTCCCGATTTCGGAATCCAGAGGACTATTTCGGGCCTTTCGGGGTTGTATGGCGTGGAAGCGGGCGGGGGCCGATGAATGAATGAACGGCTTCGGAGCAAAGTCACATGACTCAAACATGAGAGAGGAAACCAGGCCTGCATGGCCTCCTCCTTGGTGGGTGAGAAGGGGGGCGACGAGCGCGGTTGGGTGGGATGAGGGGGGGACGGAGCGCACGTAGGGGACACGGGGCACAAGACGAGGATAACATCGGGTGAGTATAGATCGAGACTCTCTGAGATCCGGTGGCTCTGGAAAAGGTCTCGGACGCCGCGGCCTTCTCAGCGCGTCTCGGAACGCTCTGAGAGCGTTCCAGAACGCTCCAGCACGGATTTGTCCTCAGGCTAGCCGCGTCCGCGAGGCCCCCAAGAGGGCCAAGCACGCCCGATAGGAGCCTCAGTCCTCGAGCATCTCGCCTCGAGGAGGCGGAAGAAGCGAAGACGACGGGCCGCTGGAAATGAGCTCACTGAAAGCAGCAATTAAAAACAACAACTAATAACAAACTAATGCATGCTTTCGGGAGGCGCAGCGGACGCCTATTTTCGATGAGGATCTCGATGGCCATCTGCTTCACGTCCACGATGGTGTTGATGTTCGCCTTGATGTCGTTGAGCACTGGCTCGAACATCGTGGGGGCCATCTCGAGGACCTTTGACTTGAGCTCCTCCTCGCACACACGCCGCGTGTGCGCGTGTGGGGGGGATTCGTTTGTATGTGCATGCGTGCATGCGTGCGTGCGTGCGTCCGCGCGTGCGCGCGTGCGCGTGTGTGCGTGTGTATATGCCAAGGGTCAACGGTCCACCGCAGGCTTTTATACAAAGTGCCTGCTGAATTCACGGTTCATGTGACCCGTTGCCGTGATCCCCGCGATTGCGAGCCTCCGCGGCGTTGGAGGAAGAAGTGCGTGTGCAAGTGAGACAGGGGCAGGCGAAAAGCGGAGAGGGAGGGACGCCCCGCAAGAACGGGCGAGAGATTCCAAAGAGGGACCCGGTCAATCAAGCGAAACGCCCCCACGAGGGAAAAGAAGCGGGAGCTGGACACGGGAAAACTGAAGCGAGGGGAGGAAGAAAGGGAGCAGGAGGATGCGAATAGCAGAAGGGGCAGTGGGCGAGGGGTGGGGTGGGCGGGGGGAGAAGGGGAGCAGCCAGGCCGAGCAGAAGCGGCGCCAGGGGGCGGGGAGGCGGGGAAAGGGACAGAGGGCGGAGAAGCCGCAGCGCAGGAGAGGAGAGAGGGCAGCTGGCCATCGCTCGGACGTCCGTTCCATGTGCTTCTTTCGGCTTCGTGCGTGCTTTTTTTCGCAGGACGATCCGGGACGCTCCTCGATCATCCCCGCCGAGGAAGAGTGCACACGTCCGAGCGATACCCGGGGCGGAGGGCAGACGGGCGGAGGGGCCGCAGGGCCAGCAGACGGGGGCACACCGACCGCGCTCGCGCGTGGCGGCTCGGCCTCCCGCCGCCCCCTCCCCCGCTCCGGGCGGGGCGCGGGAGACGGGCGGCACGGGAGCCCGGGACGCAACTGCCGCGTCTCCTCGCACATCCTGCGCTCGTCTTCAGGGGGACAACCATCGGGGATGCACAGACCTCCTTGTAGTGAAACGTGGTTTAGTGAAAACGACCTCGGGCCCAAACCTGGCGGGCGCAAGCCTGGAAAGTGACGGCCGCGGCGCCCACCCGAGAACCGAAAACGGACAATTCACTAATCGATGTGTCAGGGTAGGCGGTCTGTCCACCCCCGAAAAAAGTGGCATAAACATAAAAACTCGGAGGTCCGCGCGGACTTCTCGGATCGGCGCCGGACCCCCCTCCCTGGCGCGCGGAGCGCGCCAGGGGCGGCGCCGGAGGCGCCGCCGGGGGGCCCCGGCGCCGATCCGAGAAATCCGCGCGGACCTCCGAGTTTTTATGTTTATGTCACTTTTTGCTCCCCTCATCTTGTGCTCTCGCAGCCACCGGATCACCCCAATTCCGCGCCCCGTGCCCCAGAGTGGCGGTGCGTGCTGCTGCCTTCGCGCCCTCGCCAAAAGGGCGCCTCCGGCGGCTCGGGCCCCGAGGCGCCAGAACCGTCGCACCCGCGTGGGGGGCCTGGAGCCAGCAGGAGTAGGCGCCAAACCTCTGGCGCGACCATTTCAAACGCCTGGTGTTCTGAAACCCTCGGCTTTCCTGTGCCGTGCACTTGTTTTATGTTGTGGGTCCCAGATGCCCCGGCACAAGCCTACCTACGGATGCCCAGGGCCTCCCCCCCACCGCCACAAAAAACGCTTGTTTTATATTACAATTCCAGAAGCCTTGGGGGCAGGCACTTCAGGTCCCCAGAGACTCTCGACTTCATCCTTCGATTGGATTTCGTGCCGCGGGTTCTTTCTCTGCTGGCACATGGGCTCACAACGAGTCCCCAGAGGTGTTCATCCCTCCTTGAAGGCCCAGGCCAGCGTCGCCGCCAAGTCGAGGTTGCGCGAACCTGCAGTACCAGAGGATGTTGGGCCGTGGCGCTGGCCTGGTCGAGCTGAGCGTTCCGAAGGTCTCTGGAAGTGTCTGTTTTAATTAGGCTGGCTCTGGCATCCTTCTGCTCATCCTTTTTCTGCTCCTCCTCCTCTTCCTCCACCTCCTCCCACATTCCCATCTCTATCCACACGTCTATCCCCTGTCGTCGTCCTCCTCCTCCTCCTCGAGCTCCTCCTCGTCCCCTTTCCCTCCCTCCTCCCCACCTCCATCTCATCCGTTCCCACCCTCCTATACCTTCTCTCTCCGTCACCCCTTGGTTACCATCGCTCCGCACCGGTGCCGCGCAGCTAGTCAACCGTAGTCATCACAGTCGGGCTGGCGATGGTAACACCTACAAGGATGATGAACTATGTCGTCGGGCTGCCAATCGCCGTGAGCAGGATAACAATCAACTGCGTAACCAGCATATTCGGAGGTCCACTCGGGTTTCTTGTGTCGGCGCTGTGCCCTGGCGCGCGGAGCATGCGGGGGGCAGCGCCAGAAGCGTCACCAGGGTGGGTCCAGCGCCGATCCGAAAAAATCCGAGCGGACCGCCGAGAGCCAACGCTTGTACACATATATTATATGTGTATGTATATATATATATATGCACATGTACATCTGTGTATGTATATATATATATATACACTAGAACCATCGCGCGCGCTTGGCGCGCGCTCAGATTCTAGCCCAGGCCGGGGGGGCGCTGGACGATCTTGGACAACGCTATCAAGCACAGGCGCGCGACGGCATCTGAGGAGCTTCTGGGGTGTTCCGCATGCTTCGTCAACTGGCTGTTGGAAGCACCTCTTGGGTGCCTCTTGGGGGGGCGTCTGAGGGTCCCTTGGGGGCATCGGCTCTGCAATCTGAAGCCGTCATTGGCCGTCTTGGCTGCGTGGAGGCCCGACTTGAGGCCACCTGCGGCCAGATTGAGGCAATCCGGAAGCCTCCCGGGGGCCTCCTGGAAGCAGTTTTGATGCATTTGGGGCACTCTTGGGCTATTTTAAAACCTCTTGGACGTCTCCCAGGGGCCTTTTGGGCCCTCGGGGAGCTTTTGGGGTCCTCGTCGGACCACTTTGGGGCCTCTTGCAGCCTCCTGTGGGCCTTGTGGGGGGACCGCTCTGCTGTTGGGTCGCGTTCCCCTTCTCGGGCCTCTCTTGGGGCTCTTGGGGCCCTCTCGGGCCGTCTTGGGCGCCTCAAGCACCGTCTTGGGGCCCTCGCGGGCCGTCTTGGGGCCCTCTTGGAGGCCTCTTCCTCTATGTGGGAGCGGTATTGGAAGCCTTTGGGGCCGTCTTGGAGCATCGGGATGCCAAAAGGCCGAAAAAAAAACGTCAAAGCCCAATCGTAAAACAATGAGTTGTGCCTCTTGGGGCCACCTTGGGAGATCTCTTGGAGCCTCGTCGGCCCTCTTGGGAGCTTCTTGGGGGCCTCTTGGATCCGATTGGGGGCCTCCTTGGGACTTCCCGAGAACCTCTCGGGGTAGAAAGCTCGGATTCTCAGTTCATGTTTCCCTTCTTGGGCCTCTCTTGGGGCCGTCTTGGGGCCCTCTCGGGCCGTCTTGGGCGCCTCAGGCACCGCCTTGGGGCCCTCGTGGGCCGCCCAGGGCCCTCTTGGAAGCCTCTTCGGCTATCTTGGAGCTGTATGGGAGGCCTCTTCCTCCTCCTCGTCCCCCTCCTCCTCCTCCTCCCACTCCAGCTCTCTCTCTCCTCCTGATCTTCCTCCTCCTCCTGCAGCGTGTTCCGGAAGGCTCCCGCCGGAACATGCTGTGCACAAGTGCTGTCACTGCTGCCGCCACCGTGCCCTGGGTGGTGGGTCAGAGGCCTCATGGGTGTTGCTTTGGATCTCGTGGTTGGCCTGTCGGGGACGTCGTGAAGGCAGTTTCGCAGCTTCTCGGTAGCCGTTTTGGGACCGTTGTGGGGCCTCCTCGGGGCTGCTTTGTGGCCTCTTTAGGCCTCGTTTGGGCCTCCTGGGTGCCTGTTGGGGGCCTCCTGGGGCCTCTTGGGGGCTCCTTGGGGCCTCCTGGGGCACTCTTCAAGCCGGAGGGTCGAATTTTGGAGTCGTGGTCCCCCTCTTGGGCGCATCTTGGGGCCGTCTTGGGGCTCTGTTGGGCTGTCTTGGGCGACTCTGGGGCCGTCTTGGGGCCCTCTTGGGCCGTCTTGGGGCGCTCTTGGGGGCCTATTGAGCCGTCGTGGAACGTCGGACAGCCGAAAAGGCTGGAAGGCCAAAATCGTTCGAAAACCTTAGTAAACTTGACGATTTCGGCCTCTGGAAGCGCTCTGGAGAGGCGTCTTGAAGCGTCGTGGAGTGCCTTGGGGGGCCTCTCGGGCCGTCTTGGGCCTATCTTGGGCGTCCTGGAGCGGTCTTTCGGCGACTCGGGGCCCGCTTGGGCCGTCTTGGGAGCCTCTGGAGGCCCTCCTGGACTATTTTGGACCTCCCCGGCCGCCCCTCCTCCCATGGGGGGTCGGAGGCGGCGCCCTCCGAGGCCCAGGACGCGGAAACCCTTTTAAAAACACAGGGGAAATGAGCCCCAGTACCCCCATGGAGGCTTTTCGGCGCTCTTGGACCGATGGGAGCTCGAAAACGCGAGAAGCCAAAAACATTGAAAAGAACATTGAGCATATACGATTTTGGCCTCTCCGGGCCGTGCCGCGATACCTATCAGACTTCTTGGGGTCTCTTGGAGGCCACTTGGGAGCCTCGAGAGCCGTCGGAAGGCTGACTTGGGCTGCTCGGGAGCGTCTTGGGCCATCCTTTCGCATTCTGGGGGCTCCTAGGGGGCGTCTTGGGCCCTCTTGGAGCGCTGTGGAGGCTGCCCAGAAAGGCTGGGGCAGCAGTGCCGGGAGCGTCCCCGAGATGTGGCCATATCTTTTCAGCGCGTTCCAGGAGCATTTTCCCGGAACGCGCTCGTGGCAGGGCGCCCACGTCCGAGGACGTTGGCATGGGAAACCGCAGCGCGTGATCATTCCAGCGCGTTCCGGCGAAGACCGTCCGGAACGCGCTTGGGCAAGCGCTGGGTTTGAGTAAGGCGAGTGGGAACCGTTCAGGCAGTTTGGGATGCTCGGGGCAAGAGGCGGAAGCCATCCTCAGAAGACATGCAGTCTTCCTGGAGCCGTCTTGCAGAAAACAAACATTAGCCTGGCGAAGGACCCAACCATATGCAGTTGTGAGTAATGCTGGTGTGGGTACCGTCTTCGGTGGATCTCCCTATGGGGCCACGAACCGTTTGAGGGGTGTGCCGAAATGGGTGTGGGGGCGGCATGCGAACGTTGCCACTGGGGCCTTCGGTGGAGCTCCTTATGGGGCCACGAAACGTGTGAGGGGTGTGCCGAAGTTGGTGTGGGGGCGGCATGCGAACGCAGCCACTGGGGCCTTCGGTGGAGCTCCCTGTGGCGCCACGAAACGTGTGAGGGGTGTGCCGAAATGGGTGTGGGGGCGCATGCGAACCCAGTCACTGGGGCCTTCAGTGGAAATCCCCATGGGGCCACGAAACGTGTGAGGGATGTGCCGAAATGGGTGGTGGGGAGGCATGCGAACCCTGCCACTGGGGCCTTCGGTGGAGCTCCCTATGGGGCCACGAAACGTGTGAGGGGTGTGCCGAAATGGGTGGTGGGGAGGCATGCGAACCCTGCCACTGGGGCCTTCGGTGGAGCTCCCTATGGGGCCACGAAACGTGTGAGGGGTGTGCCGAAATGGGTGGTGGGGAGGCATGCGAACCCTGCCACTGGGGCCTTCGGTGGAGCTCCCTATGGGGCCACGAAACGTGTGAGGGGTGTGCCGAAATGGGTGGTGGGGAGGCATGCGAACCCTGCCACTGGGGCCTTCGGTGGAGCTCCCTATGGGGCCACGAAACGTGTGACGAAACGTGTGAGGGTGTGCCGAAATGGGTGGTGGGGAGGCATGCGAACCCTGCCACTGGGGCCTTCGGTGGAGCTCCCTATGGGGCCACGAAACGTGTGAGGGGTGTGCCGAAATGGGTGGTGGGGAGGCATGCGAACCCTGCCACTGGGGCCTTCGGTGGAGCTCCCTATGGGGCCACGAAACGTGTGAGGGGTGTGCCGAAATCGGTGGTGATGATGATGATGATGATGATGATGATGATGATGATGATGATGATGATGATGATGATGATGATGATGATGATGGGAGGAGGGAGGGGGGGGGGAGGAGGAGGAGGTGAGGAACGCGGGGCGCCGTCTCTTCAAAACGAGGACCCAACACCACAGGATGGTTGGGAAAAAAAATGAGACCCTGCAGTCGTTCCTGGAGCCGTCTTGGAGCCCTCTTGGGCTGCCCTGGAGCCTGTTGGAGCCCTCTGCGGAATGGTCATTGGAGCCCGCGCCGAGGATCTGGAAAATGTCCGGGACCATCGCGGCGGCCTCCGAGGCCCAGGACGCCGAAACCCCGTGAAAACACAGCGAAAATGAGCCCCGGTACTCGCATGGAGGGTCGGGCAGCTGTTTTCGGGCCCCTGGGTTAGAACCATCGCGCGCTTCGCGCGCGCTCAGGTTCTAGCCCAGGCCGGGGGGCGCTGGACGATCTTGGACAACGCTATCAAGCACAGGCGCGCGACGGCATCTGAGGATCTTCTGGGGTGTTCCGCATGCTTCGTCAACTGGCTGTTGGAGGCACCTCTTGGGTGCTTCTTGGGGGGGCGTCTGAGGGTCCCTTGGGGGCATCGGTTCTGCAATCTGAAGCCGTCATTGGCCGTCTTGGCTGCGTGGAGGCCCGACTTGAGGCCACCTGCGGCCAGATTGAGGCAATCCGGAAGCCTCCCAGGGGCCTCCTGGAAGCAGTTTTGACGCATCGAGGGTACTCTTGGGCTATTTGAAAGCCTCTTGGACGTCTCCTGGTGGCCTTTTAGGCCCTCGGGGAAGCTTTTGGGGTCCTCGTCGGACCACTTGGGGGCCTCTTGCGGCCTCCTGTGGGCCTTGTGGGGGGACCGCTCTGCTGTTGGGTCGCGTTCCCCTTCTTGGGCCTCTCTTGGGGCTCTTGGGGCCCTCTCGGGCCGTCTTGGGCGCCTCAAGCACCGTCTTGGGGCCCTCGCGGGCCGTCTTGGGGCCCTCTTGGAGGCCTCTTCCTCTATGTGGGAGCGGTATTGGAAGCCTCTTGGGCCGTCTTGGAGCATCGGGATGCCAAAAGGCAGAAAAAAAAACGTCAAAGCCCAATCGTAAAACAATGAGTTGTGCCTCTTGGGGCCACCTTGGGAGATCTCTTGGAGCCTTGTCGGCCCTCTTGGGAGCTTCTTGGGGGCCTCTTGGATCCGATTGGGGGCCTCCTGGGACTTCCCGAGAACCTCTCGGGGTAGAAAGCTCGGATTCTCGGTTCATGTTTCCCTTCTTGGGCCTCTCTTGGGGCCGTCTTGGGGCCCTCTCGGGCCGTCTTGGGCGCCTCAGGCACCGCCTTGGGGCCCTCGTGGGCCGCCCAGGGCCCTCTTGGAAGCCTCTTCGGCTATCTTGGAGCTGTCTGGGAGGCCTCTTCCTCCTCCTCGTCCCCCTCCTCCTCCTCCCACTCCAGCTCTCTCTCTCCTCCTGATCTTCCTCCTCCTGCAGCGTGTTCCGGAAGGCTCCCGCCGGAACATGCTGTGCACAAGTGCTGTCACTGCTGCCGCCACCGTGCCCTGGGTGGTGGGTCAGAGGCCTCATGGGTGTTGCTTTGGATCTCGTGGTTGGCCTGTCGGGGACGTCGTGAAGGCAGTTTCGCAGCTTCTCGGTAGCCGTTTTGGGACCGTTGTGGGGCCTCCTCGGGGCTGTTTTGTGGCCTCTTTAGGCCTCGTTTGGGCCTCCTGGGTGCCTGTTGGGGGCATCCTGGGGCCTCTTGGGAGCTCCTTGGGGCCTCCTGGGGCACTCTTCAAGCCGGAGGGTTGAATTTTGGAGTCGTGGTCCCCCCCTTGGGCGCATCTTGGGGCCGTCTTGGGGCTCTGTTGGGCTGTCTTGGGCGACTCTGGGGCCGTCTTGGGGCCGTCTTGGGCCGTCTTGGGGCGCTCTTGGGGGCCTATTGAGCCATCTTGGAACGTCGGACAGCCGAAAAGGCTGGAAGGCCAAAATCGGTCGAAAACCTTCGTAAAATTGACGATTTCGGCCTCTAGAAGCGCTCTGGAGAGGCGCCTTGAAGCGTCGTGGAGTGCCTTGGGGCGCCTCTCGGGCCGTCTTGAGCCTATCTTGGGCGTCCTGGAGCGGTCATTCGGCGACTCGGGGCCCGCTTGGGCCGTCTTGGGAGCCTCTGGAGGCCCTCCTGGCCCATAGGGGGTCGGAGGCGGCGGCCTCCGAGGCCCAGGACGCGGAAACCCTGTAAAAACACAGGGAAAATGAGCCCCGGTCCCGCCATGGGGGGTGGAGGCACCTGTCCTGGGGCCCCCGGCCGCGCCCCCAGGGATATATATATATATATATATATATATATATGTATATATATATATATATATATATATATATATATATGTGTGTGTATGTGTGTGTGTGTGTATAAAGATGGGTATGCTATTCTTCTACGGCGGGGTCGTGCCGTCGCGGCTCCGGTGTTGGTCCTTGGCATCGCGTGGGGCGCTCAACCCTGAGCCATCGGCGCTTTGCCACGCGGCGAGTATCGATTGCTCCCGGGCCCCTGTCGGCGATGAGAACCCGGAGCGCCCGCAGCGGGGTCGCAGCACCGTCGACACGACGCGACCCTGCTCCAGCAGGAGGAAACGGCTACAGTCGGGGGCTTGACCTAAGGAACCCAAAATAAGGAACGAGGCCCCTTTTTTCCATGAGTTAAACTTCGATTTCCGATCGAGAACATAAGGAAAACCTGAGGCAAGCTGCGAAACACTTAAGATACGCGGAGCCCCTCCCCAACGAAAAGGGTTCCTTCTTCAGGGCTCCGACTGTAAAGCAGAAACTTTTGGAGCTCCGCGCGGATCCCTTGGATCCGCGCTGGGCCCCCCTCCCTGGCGCGTGGGGGGCCCTGCGCGGATCCAAGAGATCCGCGCGAAGCGCCAAAAGTTGGTGTTCATGGCGTTGCTGCTTGTTCGATGCTCGTCTGCGACGTCTCGTTGCACCGGCCTTGCCGACGTGCTGCAGCGGATTCCTGCGTGGATGTTTGCCCGAAGCGGCGAGCGAAAAACGACGTGAATTTCGCGGCCCCCCAAAAAAACCCGCACGAAACTCACACCGAGGTCAGGAACGATACTCTCCAGGACAATCCGAGCCCACCCGATCGTTTTCCGAACGAAGTCCGCTCTGCGATGCTGGCGCCGTGAGGCGTCTTCTGGCTGCCGCGGGCGCAGGCGGCCCCCCCCCCTCTTGAGCAGGGGCCGACCGTCCCAGCATTCCTACAGCACTACCACGACCTGTTCTTAGAACCCAAAGAGGTTCCAACAACAACAACAACAACAACAACAACAACAACAACAACAACAACAGTGTTCTTAGAACATTAACCCGATGCGTCAACACGGGACAGTCTCAGCCAGGAATGTTCTACGAACATCTCGTGGAAACCGCTAGAGGTTCTTAGAACGTTGTTTGGTAGGCCTATAGGCGAGCCAGGACGCTTCGCCACTGCTTGACCCTCCTTGACGTAGGCCGGCAGCGTCTGCCAGATCTGCGGGCACCGGCTCCGCGCGAGGCGCTCCAGCACCGCGGCGGTGGTGGCGACGAGCACGGGCTGCAGCTCGCGGAAGAAGCTCTCCTGGGCCGCGGCTCGGTGGCAACTCGTGGGAGCCTCCCACACTCTC